CTCTTTCGGCTTCATTTACATAAGTTTTGTTGTCCCTAAAGCTCATCCTTCATCGATGATCCTTGCGTATTTTAAATGAAATCGATATCGTCATATTTTCAAGATAAATTACAGCTTGGCATTCTTATTTTTTTAAATATTTCAGTAATCGTTTCGGCGACGGTTTCAAATGATTTTAATCTATATTCGAAACGAAATAACAGTTTGAGACAAAGCGCTGTCAATTTTCCAGATGTCGATCGGACTCGTCCTTCTATTCCTTGTCACAGTCCAGCAACTTCACTCCTCCGCCGCTCCTGGTAACCATAGTAACCTCCTCTTGTCGTCCTCGATGAAGGAAACGGCACAGACACTATCCATTCGCTTCGAAGAGACAATGAACAGGATAATAATACATCTTCAATGCTCTAACGAATTATACATTTTGCATTTTTTTTAATATTTTTAACTAGAATTACACAAAAATATCTTGCATTTCTCATTATAAATCTCCATCGCAACTGTTATATAAACAAACAGGTTTAATATTTACGATTTTAAGTGATCGAAAATCGAATATATTTATCATTTTTCGTACAATAAATCGATTATACGCTGTGCCATCCCGTAGAAATTACACAGTCAATCGTTGTTAAATACGTTTATTTTCGACTAAAATCGATGAAATTTAAAGAAGTTTTTTTTATATATAATCACTTTTCTTTCATAAATTTATCTATAAATATTTATTTTATTAAATTAAATCTTATTTTAAATGGTAAATTTATCTTTCCATTAAGAGAGATCAAAGGAGAAACATGATTTACAGGGGTTAAAATTAAAAAAAAACATCTTCATCTCTTCTAAGCTTATTTTAATAAACAATCGTGTCATATATTATCTAAAATATATTTTTATAATTTTAATAGCTTATTTATTTATTTCTTAAGGAAAGTTATTAATTTATAAAATATCATTTAAAATATTTTATAAATTAATTTATTAATAGTTAAAGTATCTCTGTAGAAGGATAAAGATGAGGAGGATGAAGATGAGAGGAAGGAGGAGGAGAATTACAATATGTGAAAAATATATAAAAATTAACATAAATTTAAACAAAAGCCACTCTTACCAAATGAGAATTACCTAAAGGATAATTCATTAACCACTTCACGATTAGATGTATAATTATTGTAAATTATAAGAGGCCCTTCTTCTCCACTAAATAATAATAATAAATTTACAAAAATAATACTTTCAACTGAAGCTTTTTATCGCTAGGCCCTAAGCCCTAGCTTGTTTAGATTACGTGTAAATCCCTTCTCCATCCTCTTACAAGTCAATTTAGAGCAAAACTTCGCAAGAAAATAATCCAAATTACCACATTTTCTTTTAATCAAAACAATATCGATCGTAGAAAATATTTTTTAAAAAAATATATAACATTTTTCAATCGAAAGGGATGGATATATTTTCTAAGAAAAGAACCTTTTTACTTTTATTATCCCATCGATATGTGGTAAATATACATATAAAACTATTCGAGATGACGTCCTCTCCTATTGAAATTTGAATATTAAAATATTCCAAATCTTTGTACAGGAGGGATCTTTAGATTCAATTGGTGACACATCCCTTATCCCATTTTTTTTTAAATATTATTTTTAATGTATAAACTGACATATTTAAGGAAATTTGAATGGTGATACGCATCACTTTACACGGATATTTTCACTCCTTCTTCAAGGAATATTTCAAATATCGATTCTAATATTACCTGTCATGCATTGTTGAGTAGTTTTTCTTCATATCATTGCATCTAACTCTAAAACTTTTATAGAAATCTGCATAAAAGGATGCCATTAAATACCGAAATTGTCAAAGTTTATAAATGTTCGAGACGAAGTTTTCAAGGAAAAAAAAAAATTATTTTTGAAATGTTTATAAATTATCGATTCGATTTTCCAGAGTATTTTTTTTTTCTTGTTTCTGGACATAAGAAAATTCAATAATTCTAGAAGCCATTTTAAGTTACTTTATTTTATTATAGGCCTGTGCAGTAATACTATTGCAGTGTAACTAACAATAGTATCTGCAAGTACTGCAACTTTAAAATAAGAATTGTATATGACAGATGTATCTTATCTGCTTTACATGATTAAAATTAGGCCAGAGACTGTTCAGTTTACATCTTTCAATCTGAAATCGTGGAGAAAATAAGCACAAGTATTAATTAAACTTCAAAACTTTGTCCACCAGTAAACAAAGGGTTAAAAGAGCGTTTAGTTATTAGACTGGAACGATCCGAACTAATAAGCGAACGCTCTTTTAATATCTACGATCTAAAACTTAATTCATTATTAAAACGTGCAAACCATAACTTGGATTGGAGTAGTCGGAACTAATAAATGAACGCATTTATAATATATTAAGTCGTTCCTTAATGACGTAACTGGAAGTTGAAACGGGATACTACGGGATTATATTCCCTTCATTTCATTAGCAAACAGCGAATAAATAATCCGTAAAATATTTAAAAACTAGATTTATGGTATGATTTATCAAACTTGTTATCTCCGCAAACGTATTATTTATTGCCCGACGTCATATTTCGTTAGGCGCCATCTTTATTAGTAATAAAAATCGGCGAAGTAAAAAAAAACGGATTCAAAGTAATATTCATTTCTAACTCCTCCAAATCAATTCAATTAATGGCTTAAATAATAATAAATTAAATAATATAATAAATAAATAATTTTTANACAACAATAATGTAGAGACGACACAATGCCAGAGAGGGTTCGAGAACAAACGATGACTCTATTTCTTCATTCCATGTTTTTGTTGTCTGGGAAACATAGATCGTTCATCATTACATAGGGATATGTTGCTGAAGTTTCTAGAGTCGCAGAATTTGAAGGAAGAAAATGATGTCAGTTTATTTTTAATCAAATGCAGAATCTACATGTTAAAACTTATTTATTATTTTTAAAATTTATATTACCTATATTCAATGAGTTTAATGTCTTCTTCCAATCTGAAAAGTCTTTAATATCTAGAGTCGCAGAATTTGAAGGAAGAAAATGATGTCAGTTTATTTTTAATCAAATGCAGAATCTACATGTTAAAACTTGTTTATTATTTTTAAAATTTATTTACATATATTTCGATACGGAAATGACTTTATTGTCCTACAAGAACACCTATATTGTAAAAAAAAGACCACTTTCAATGGCTGTCTCGACATCACCACCCTCCACATGACATGTCCTTTGTGGAGATTGCATTCAACAATGAAGAGAAACCCACGCTGGTTGTGAGAGAATGAGAGTGAATTGCGGTTTTTTTAGATGAATAAAAAGGTCAAGGTACATCGATTTTTTTTATTATACCCTTCATTAAATACTTGTTTGAATAACTTCTAAACTATATCCACTATACGTTACTCCATTTACAAATTATCGACTCTCCTATCTTTCTTCCTCGTCCGAAAAAAAAGAAACACATCATTAAAGATTTTTACACAAAAAATACAATAAAAATCGGCCAATTTCTTACCGTTTTATCGCTTAAAAAAAACATAAAATCGAGCCTAATTGTATACGTCGACACCTCTATGTAAGGAAAAAAATTCCCTGATATAACAATGTAACTAATTATAGAAGAGGACGGTTCAAAGTGTGATAGAATATTCTATAAGTTTATATTATTGGAATGTTCGTGTGTTAAAAAAAAAAAACCTTCACACGCGATAAATGCATTTTGCTCTTGTTAGACAATGTTTTTCCTTGTAATTTTTCTCCCTTTTTCAATGGTGCTTACGTTCGTTTATCGATTTTTAAATTGGAGTTTTACTGTTTAGATTGTATTGTTAAATGTAGTGTTGTTATCGAGTAATTAATTTTGTATTTACGTGCAGAGTATTGCGTATGTTTGCCAACGTAGGTAGGCGCTAGTAAATAAGTTAGTTACTTGAATATACGACATAAATGAGTTATAAACAGTAATTAATTTGATAAATAAGCATACGTGTATGTATATAAGTAAGCTTTAAAAGAAGAAATGTGTTAATAAATGGAGTAGTAAACAAGTGTTTTTGTTGGTAAGAGATTATGTTAATAAATAGGTAAAGAAGTATGTTTATAAACAATGTGTTAATAAATAATATAATAAATATAAAATTTAATAAATTTATTAAGTTTTAAATTAAATTAAAGAATTTTTTAAATATATTTTTAAATATTTGATTTGTAAATAATGAGTTCAACCAGCCGAAATAATGGATGATCCCTATTTGTACTACTTCATTCTCTCTTCACCTTGTTATAGAAAATAAAAAAAATCTATCCTTACGTAAGTCAACGGAAATCAATTTTACTACCTTTTTACTTTAATAAAAGAAAAGAACGAGTGCCATTTCATATATGAAATCTCATTATAGAAACAATGCTTGCCTGAGAAAACATTGCCATTAGAAACAATAAGCGAATTCTCTACAAAACTTCCAGAAAATAAAACAATTTTTCCACTCGCAATGCTTCAAATTTTCTTAATTTCATTCGAACTTTTTTTAAAACTTTCTCCACTTCCATTTATTAAATGAACAACTCGAGTTAACGTACGGACGGATAAAGCGCTAACAGTAACCATTTCCTACTTAAAAAAACGATAATATTAAACACTTAAAATGTATCCCAATTTATTAAGTTGGAAAGTTGTAAATTGTTTTGAAACGGAGAGGAAACAAGCTCGAGGAAACACGACATAAACGAGTGACAAGGTCATGGGAGAAGACCCATGTGGTAACCCATTCCCGTTATAACCGCTTGTTTGTTGATATAAAAAGGTATATAACACGACCTCGTTTACTCGACAGCAACAAGTGTTGAACTTCAAATTTCAATTAAAAAAAATGAACAATTTAAAGATATTAATCCATTGGTACACATAATTTGCAAGGAGGTAAGAGTTGCCTCCTTGTAAATTATGAAGAATGGGGAATGTCTATTAATTAAACTTACCTGGAATTCCGTTTTTAAGAGTATGTCATATTTTCTTAAATTTTCAACGTGTTTAGGGAATTTATGCAATTCTATGGGCTTCTGTGGTATGAGGTTCGTGGCTTTGTCACCGTCGGACACGTTGAGTAAGCCGCTGTTCAGTAAAGAGAGTTGTAACTTGCTTATGCACGGATCTCTCTGCTGTTTGCTACGGAATAGAGACCTGCTAGAATCGTTCTTGGCCTTGTTGGTCTTCCCCATTTTCGTCTTGATCTGCTCCAGAATGTCGGTTCGGTATACGAGATGTATAGCGAAGAGTGGAGGTGGCGAGTAAAAATAGCAAAAATTCTTCTCTCGTCGGCTTGTCTGCGATGGGATGGAGGCGAGGGGAGGCGAGAGACCGGACAGAAGGAGACGACAGCACGAGATTTGTTGTGTACCAAGCGTCCCGGACGTGGCCACATCTCGAATAGAACCAACCTTATCGATACGGACGAGAGGTGAGGGCGCTCGACCACACCGAGCTGACGTCGCCTTGGTGAAGGAGCAACGACGTCAGCCATTGGTCATAATCTCCGCACGTGGATTTGGGAAATTGGAGGACGTTCGGCCCACCTCGTGAGCTTTTCTTTCCCCCTCTTCTTCTCCTCGACTCGTTCGTGTAAACATTTTACCGTTTCTTTTTTTTCTTATTAAATGTTATCAATTATTTAGAATAATGAATGATTTGGGAACGACAAACCCTTCTCCTATCGTCGTTTATTTTGTTTATTAAAAATTTTATGTGTTGTTAATCGAAATTTATTATTTATCTGAATTGGAGTAAATTTTCTGCGGTTCTAGCTATTTCTCTCTCTCTAAAAAAACATAAACAAGCGAATTTCTATCAAAAATTTGCCTTCCTAACTCATCCTAAAGTGTACATTTACTCAATAAAAAATAATGTAAATAATCGGTAATTTTAAGAGCAGATTCTTGAATTACTCGTAAAAATAAGTAATTTTTGCGTAATTTATTACAGCGCTTAATAAATATAACGCCGTAAAATAACAAATTAGAATTACTCTTTGATTTATCTTTTTAATAAGTGTAATAATAAAGTGGAGTCGGTTCTCTCACATATAATCCTGTGCGAAGGTACTTCAAATGTTTCTGGAGTGCCTTTGATGTGTACATAAGATCGAAACTTAATATAGAGATAAAAGTGCAGCAAAAGAATTCGACAAATTCGATAATTAAATCGATTTTTTTTTTCAATTTTTATACTTTAAAATACAACATTGTAAATCGAATAAACCGGCGAAACAATAGGAGTAATCGATTTTAATCGATTGCAAAGAAATCGATAAATTTACCCGGACGAAATCGATTAGTTTTCTTTTATAACCGATTTGAATCGATTATTTTTTTGTTTATAATCGATTATTTTTTTTGTAATCGATTATTTTTTTTGTAATCGATTATTTTTTGTAATCGATTAGAAGAAATTTCCTTTAATTTTTCTCATTTTATCGGTAGGAAGAGATTTTTTTAAAATAGATTTAATCGATATAAATGATAAATCTCCGTTCGAAATTAGAAGAACGTTTAAAAATAGATCAGTTGATTAATTTTTATGCAAATTTTTAATTTCGAAATATTTAAAACGAAATTAAAGGCAGTTGATAAATAGGAGAAGTTTATCGATCAAGTTAATTAAAGTTTGTTTTTGATTTTATTTTGTTTTCGTTTCCTTGAATTCTTGAAAAGATTTTTTAAATTAATTTCTTCTTCACTTCGTCTTTCTACAAATGAAACATTGTAGTTCAGTTACAGCAAGGTTAATATCGATTTTGCTCCTCGTTTCTCTAATTGCTTTGCATCTTCAACGAACAGTTAACCCGCAATTTGTAAAAAAAAAAGCAATTACACATTATCTAGGACAAGTTTCACGCCGAATTAATACTTTCGGTAAGAAAATTCAATGCTTTATCATAGAAAAATATATAAATATAGATGCGTACAGATAAAAGATTGGCTCGTCGTAAATCGAAGCCTAATTTCCCATAGACTCAGTGTTATAAATTGAGGTTTTAAACCGTATAACAACGAAGAAAATAGGTTTAAATATAGCATTTTATATCGTCACAATAGAAAATTTACACGAAATAAAAAAATGAAGGTCGAAAGCTAACGGTCGTAAAGCGGGGGTATACTGTATGTTCTTAAAACCGCATCTATTTAAAAATTATCTTTCATAAATCTAAAAAATAGAAGTATTTACATTGTTTTCCGTATAAAACATACATTAGAGTAGTTCTAAAGACGATAGAGTTCCATTTTGTTTTCATATTTTCAATGTTTAGAATAATTTATACGATGGTCATCTCCGGTTGAGAGATTTATGTCTGTGTAGTTGTGAAATTAGAGTTTCTGCTGAAACTTTTTCTAATGATTTTCAAATTTGTAGCACGTCAGTCGTTAGATCATGCCTCCCAGTAACGATGCTCAAGCAATTGGAGAGACTTATGGATTTTCAAACTAATATTCTCCATCCAAAATGCCAAAATATCTATTAAGGTTCTCAACATTTAGATCGCGATCTACCAGTTGAAATCTATAGTATGAGAAAAATTCTTTTTCTTACCTTCTAGAAACGCATAAAGTATAACTTAAATGGATGTAAATTTTCATTATGGGATAGATTTTCCTCATAGATCCGTCTATATTGTAGAAAAAAAATCCATTTTCCATACTGTAATATGGGAACAGCCTATGGAAATTTATAAGAAGGTAAAATCCCTCTTACACTACGAGAAAAATGAATTTTCTGATAATATAAATGCTAATAATGAATGAATTTTCTATACCCGAAAAATAGGATCCAATTAAGAAAGCGTTAGAATTCGTTTTATTCGATTTTCTCCCCATTAAAAATTAAAAATCAATTTTATGATCCTATCAGAGTTAAAGTAATAACACAACATTTAATCAAGCATAGGAAATTTTTCTAAACAGCGAATTAATATCGAGTTGCCTTCTCATTTATAACCCTCAGTAATTATACTCTTTTAATAAACAGAGCCATTTTTCACGTGTTTACTATCTACCCCCCCTCCCTTTTTTTTAGATATATTCTTCTGTCGGTGTATTGATCACACGTGTGACGAGGGGAGGAGGGAATGGCGTCATTAATCAGCTCGAATGCTTCGCGTGCCGAATAAATATATTAGCTAAATCCTCATTATTTTGTGCTTTTGTTGAACGAGGTCAGAGAAAATGCCCTTGAAAATCCTCTTTGTTGCTAGCTAAATAAATGTTGCAGTTAGGCATTAATGCTCTTAATAAGGAGAGATTGCTTGTTGATACTCGCTTAGCCTCTAAAATCCACCATTTATTTTATTCGAAATATAATTATTTTCAGATTTATTACAGTATATTATACTGCAAAATAGTAAAAATTGCATAATTTACTGTATAAACTATACCCTGATATTAATTATAAAATTATCTTTTAATATATTAAGTGTGCATTAATATTTAGAATAATATTCATAGTATTTTAATCCTTAAAACATTGAAGTATGTTATACTCCATTATATACAGTATTTACAATAGTATTTACATAACATCCAATACAGTATAATACATTTTAATATTACTAGTATAGAAGATTTTCAGCATTTATACATAAACTATACCTCTATCTACAATATAAATTATACCACAATGTCTAAAATTAAACTACACTTTCATTGTTTACAGCAGTATAATATTTACAACTTAGTTTATACTATAAACACTGGAAGTGTACTTTCATTGTAGACATTGTGGCATAATTTATATTGTAGATAGAGGTACACTTTATCGTGTTTAAACTTTGTACTGTATACTTTCAGTGTTTACAGTACAAAGTGAGTTTAATGTTTACAGCTTCGTATTCAGCATCTACAGTATAGTACAGTGTATACTCGAGTCATTTCATATTTTAGTACAGTACGTTAATACTGTAAAAATTCAATATACAGTAAAGTTTTTATTATTATTATTATTATTATTATTATTATTATTATTGATAGAATGGATATATTTCTGTAAAATTTAAGATTAAATATCGTATATAAATGGCTGTATTTTACTGTCCAAAATGTAAAAAATTGCTTTATCCACCCGTAAAATTAGTCTATTATGAGCTATTTTACAGGGAAGACATACCGTAAATAAGAAAAAAAGGTACCAAAATTGATGTTTTGGACGTAGCAATATTTAATAATTGGGAATTGGAGGCAACAGAAGCAATCTTTTGCCATCATTTTTAGATAGGAAAAAAAAAGATTAAATTTAGTATTCGGAATCATCTGGACCAATCCGAGATGCTGTTGCCATGGTGACGAATCGGACGCATCGGTGGATGAAGCTGGCGATTTGCTTCATTCGGATTAGTAAGACGTCACCCATAACCTATCGATTTATTAAATGCGACTAAGGAGATTCTCCAAATCAGAAGTGTTTTAAAGTTAAGCACCTCCTTAACCGGTGGCTCGCGTTCTCTAAGAGTCATCGTTCTCCTATAACATAACACCTTTCTCTATATCAAAACCTTAAAAAAAAAGGTTGAAGAACACCACGTACTTATGCGGGATACCGTTTCGTAACCGTTAGTTCGCGAACGTAAATTGCTTTTTCGCTTTTTAAGATGATGTTTGTAACAAAATAAAGTTTGAGACGTCACTATATTAAAATAACAGAGTATAGATTCCAACCGGTAGCTCGCAAACTACTAATCGGAAAATAATATTTTACATTTTTAGTAGTCCACAGAAAAATGAGGTAATATTTTATTATATAATAATGTAAAGTAAGATTTTCCAACGGGTATTTCGCGAGCCACCCTTAGAAAAATATTTGCGATATAAAATTATTTTTTAAAGGTTTATTCTTAAATTCTTAAATAAAAAACAAATGTTTTTTTAAGAAGTAGTTCGCGAACTACTTATTTTTTAAAGGAACATCAAAAAAGTTCTTTCTATAAAAATTTATTTTTCAATTTATAAAAGTTATTATGTAATTTTTAATTATTTTATTTATTATAAACAAAATCCCCCACAAAATAGAAATTTTTATCAAATTAATAAACTTCTCAACAAGTAGCTCGCGAAATAATAATAGGATAACAATACATGAAATTTCGTAAGAGTGTAGGACTTCTCTCATCCAACAGGTAGGTTGCGAACTACTGGTTGAGGAATTAAATTTTGTATTATTATTTAGTAGTTTTATTTAATATGTTATTATAAAAATTGCATAAATTTTGTAATTTTATCTCTGAAAGGGATGATAAAGCAGTAAGAAGTGTAAGCGGATGATGATGAAACAGGATGATGAAAGCCTGACAAATAAAGAAGATCAATGATTAATGATGAAAATATTAGTGAATTGTTGATAACGATTGCTGATTATTTATTACAAATATTATTAGATAATAAAAATAATAAAATAATAAACATAAATCCAAAATTTTGTAATATTTTGGAATTTCTAAAGTAAAGAAGTCTTAATTAAAAATTAAATTAAACTTAAATTTTACGAATTTTTATTCATTAAATTGACAAAATTCGTTCACAAATTGCTCTTACTTACATTTTTATAAATTTAAATAAATAAAATTTTAAAGTTTTGTATTTATTTATTGATTGATAATTCGTCCATTCGCGTGTCTGTCCGCGAAATTACTAAAAAAAACTTATGAAATTCTTCGGAAGAAAAAGTTAAATTAATGAGATTTTTTAAAGATGATTTTGTAATATTAAGAAACTTTAAAAAAATAATAATAATACTAATATAAATTTGTTGGATTTTAAAAATTTTTCACGATTTTCCTTTGGTAAAAATGTAATATTTTTCGAATTTTTGATAATTTTTAAACATGCTGAACTATATTTTAGAAATTTTTAAAATGCAGATTAAAAAGATTTTCGAATATCTTTTTGAATACTTTTTGAATTTATTGGAAAAATGCAAAATTTTTACAAAAATTATCTCTTATGTGTTTTTTTCTTCTTTTAGAAAATTTTAAAAATTAATTTTTCCAAAAATTTGCATTTTTAGCAAATAATATTAAACATTAAAATGTAATAAAATATTACGGAAAAAATCGTTAAAAAATTTAAAACTCACAGAAAATTTTTAAAAAATATTATAGAAAATTACAAAAATTACATAAAAATTACTAAACAATTACAGAAAAAATACAAAACAATACATGAAAATTACAAAAAATACAGAAAATTACAGGGAAAATTACATGAGAAATTACAAAATAATTACAGAAAAATTACAGGAAAATACAGGAGAAATTACAAAATAATTACAGGAAAATTACAGGAAAATACAGGAGAAATTACAAAATAGTTACAGAAAAATTACAGGAAAAATACAGGAGAAATTACAAAATAATTACAGAAAAATTACAGGAAAATACAGGAGAAATTACAAAATAATTACAGAAAAATTACAGGAAAAAAATACAAGAGAAATTATAGGAGAAATTACAAAACAATTATAGAAAAATTACAAAAAATACAGGAAAAATTACAAAAAATTACAGAAAAATTACGTAACATTATAAGAAAATTATTAAAAAAGTGCAAAATATGTTCCAAACGTAAAGCAATAAAGATGAACTACACACAAAAATATAAAATAATTTTTAAAAATGTTATAAATGACTCGTTTGAAAGAATTTTACATAATTTCTCGAAAAACACCGATGCTCGTATATTTTGAAACAATCAACAAACACACACACAAAAAATTATTCAGAAATTTTTCTGTATTAATTAAACGAACAAACCAAATAAACCAAAGAAAATAATTTCTAATTTTCAAAAAATTAGCAAAAAAAAAATTAAATAATTTCATTTTTAACCATTAAATAAAACTCAAAAATGAATAATGCATTTAAAAAATAATTACGAATGGGTGTATTTTTGGATCAATTTTAAACGTGGCTCCATCTAGTGCCAGAAGGAATAATTATCGCAACATTGCTGGAGAATAATGTCAAGCTCTCGTCTTTAGAAGTGGATCTTTCCTCTTTAGACTCTACTTACCCGTGATAAACGATAGATCTAAAAATTCCCCAAACAATCTATTTTCGTTTGAAACTAGTAAATTACGTATATTTCCCGAGAGAATAAAAAAAACAACCATCTTTCCATCGCATCCTTCAACCCAACCTCCGAAATTTAACGTTTTTCTCTTTAAATATCTACAAAAATTTCCCTTAAAATGCTTGTAAAAAATCCCCAAACGTCTAAAAAACATTCTAGAATTAAAATTTAAGTAATTAAATCGGTTAAAAATTAATTTTTTGACAATTTCATTGCGCTTAATCACGTTTTGTATATAGATGAACATGGGTTTAGACATTCATTCATATTATTTTCCACTATAAAAAACAATACAGGGATTTTTTAACATGTAAATTTAGGGATTTTACGCGTTAAAAACGCTAGAAGTCATCAATGAAAATGCTTTTTATTTTTTATTTTTTAAATTTTCTTACTACGTTCCTAACCGGATAATTGCTCCAAGAGCGACGTCACAATTGCCATTTTTATATTCGGAAGTGTGTTAACTCCAATTTTAGTTTTGTAAATAAGTTTTTATTGAAATGACTCGACTAAATATAGTTTATGGTAGCGTCAGAATTACAATGACGAGCTAAATATGAAGTTTGACTGTTAAAAAACGTCAGTAAACTCCGTAATAAAGTATGTAATCCAAGCAAGGTTACGCGTGTTTAGAGCCGGATAAATTATAAAATTTGTACAAAAATTTCGATTTTTTTAATGAATTAATATTCAATAAACTCTAAAATTTTGATATTTTTTATTTTAGGTTTTTCTGGGATGGTAAAAATTAGGGAAAATGTCGAGTTTTTCTGATGAGATTTCCATTGAAAATAACATCACTTCTATGTAATGATGTCGTGATTAGTCAAGGTCGGATAAGGTCGATACAAAATCGATATCCGAGAGGAAATGGCCCTCCGAATTACTTCCGGTTTACTTCCGGCTCAAGCCAGCTACTTAATTCTAAAAAAATAATCTATAATTAATAATAAAAAAAACATAATTTACATTGTCTAAACGTGAATTTTTAGTCATCAAGAAACGTTTTTATCCGCCAGTTTTTGAAATATTTAATAATTCGGGGCTGTGCGGTGTTAATTTCCTCCAAAATTCCACGTAATTTCGTTCTAATAACGCCATAAAATTCCAGAATGAAAAATAGTAAATTTTATAGAAAGTAAATGAGATAGAACGTATTTGCTTTGTATCCTTCAGGTCTGCATGTGCATCTATTTATCCTCTGATTTTCCTAACCGTCCGTCAATCTGTCTGCCCGTTATCCGTCTCTCAAACTTATCGAAAACTAAAAAGTCCCGTCTGATCAATACAAAATCCAACATTTTAACATCTTAAATATAAAATATACTTAAAACTCGATGAGAATTGTTAAAAAGGATGTCACACGCCGTAGATTTTATCCTGTTAGACTTTTAAGAGCGATGAAGGATGAAGGAAGATCATTGGCAAGAACCACTTTCCATATTAAATCGAACTAAACAGATTTGTATCAGGATGACGTAAGTGATGCTATCTTTCTTGGAATAGTGAGTATCAGCACGTGCAATTTGATCGTGATCCAAAATTTTAGAGTCAATCCGTGGTATGCTGGTCGAATTATCATAAGAGATAACTGGAAAACAAGAAGAGATAACGAAGAAACTTTAGAAGATCCCCCACAAAGAATCCAAGAAGTGAAGGGAGTTAAACGACACTAACCCAATTTCGGTGATGAAATTCGAAAAATCCCCTTTTGTTGAATAACCTGGTCACCTTCTATTTTCGGATTTTTATTGAGAAGTAATTCTTTTCTCTTATGCTTCCTTATATACAACCAAACTTTTCCGCCCACTATCTTATGTGACGTCTCATCCACCCTCGTTCCATTGGCTCCTCTCCACTCCCTTTTCTCCTTACTTACCCACGTTTCGTGGCACCAACACGTGATTTGGGTGAATGAATAATTCGGAGAATCTTGAATTTCTATGACATCGTCTCTTATATTTAGTTTATCTTCAGTATAAGTTAGAAACGAGCAGACGAAACAACGTCTTTTCTCTCAAACTGACTGAGGTGAGTCGAGTATTTTTTACTTAATTCAATTTAATTTAATCGAAAAATAAGTAAATTACTGTTCAGAATATGTTATTCTTTAGAATTTCCATATAAAAATAATCGAAAATTCTTAAGTTAAGATCATTTAAACTCGCCTTTTGAAGGATTATACTTAAATATTTTTATTTCTAGGCTTTCAATTATGGTAAAGACTAACAAAATGATCAAGGATCCGAATAAAATCTCACGAAGTAAACAAAATAAACAGAAAGATCCTTCCATCAGCAAATTACAGCTGTCTCTTCTCAGTAGTGGATTGATGAACGAGGACAGATCTAATCAACTTCTTCCCCACAGACCCATAGAAGTGACCAAATTTGCTGCTCACGTCGAGAAACTGAAGAAATACGAAGCACTACTGAAAATGGAATTCGAGGTGAGGTCACAACTCGGAATTAATTACGCTAAACTAACAAGAAAAAGTAGGAGAATAAGTGATAACAGTAAACAAAAAGTGATGCTGAGAGGATGAAGAAGAAGAAGATTACATTCTCCACTTCTCCGTTATCTTCTTTATCCTTTTCGTCTGACCTCCATATACTAATTTTAACATTCTTCTGACATATTTTCCTCATTAATATATGAACTGAATTTTTTTCTTTTTGGAAACGTTTAAAAATTTCTCTTTTGTTTAAAGTAAACACTTGACGTAGTAGATAAACGATAGCTACTTTCGCTATTTTACGAGCGTTTTTTTCACTTTTTACACTCGAAAAAAGGTATTTTTTTTAAGATAAATAACAGAAGAAACACACTCGTACCATTCAAAATATTCGAGAATCAAACCTTCGCTGGCCTCTCTATTTTCGTTACAGGAATCGAAAGTGTACCTCCCTTCCGCCCACCAGACGTTCCTCCCATCACGTGATCTCCCCCGCTGCGAACTTAAATGGAAGAGCGATTGCACCCCGGCCATATTTACATTGGAAACTAGGGGGATGGTCGATAAATATCCTAAATTGTCATCCCGATTCTGTACCCTAACTTTTTTTTTTCCTATGAAAATTGCGTGATTTCTGGTAATTTCCCCGTTGCGTTTAATGACGAAAGAGTAAACAGAAACATCAGCAATATTTTTCCGGGAATGTCTACGAAAGGACGATCCTTGAAAACTTGGCCTTGAGTGCCATCTGTTGGCAACATCCGGCTTACAGCATCCTCCGATGAAGTGTGAAGAGGATGGATGCGGATGTGATGATTGTTTAACGACGGAAATTTGACAATTTTCATTTTTCGAATACATTTTTTAAGCAATTTAAAACGCAATTCTTAATAAAAATAATCAAAAATTTAAATATTTACAAGTAAAAAAAGATTACACAAACATACAGACAGTAGGAAAACTCAAAAAATAATAATAAAGGGGAAAGGAATTACTAAACAATTTCGGATATGCCCTAAATTAATTTTTAAGTAAAATAAATAGAATTATCAGGTATATTTTTAAAACTGGAAGGGAAATAAATAAAATTTTCTCGATTGTTATGATAAATGATTTTGGCAAAGTTCCTTACAAATTCTACTCTAGAAAGGCTATTTATTGTTTTGTTTGGATACATTCCTGTTTTTCAAAGTTTTTACATATCTTTTTACAACCAGATATAATTTTATCGATCCTCTTACAAGAAATTCCTTTGTTTTCTACCTCCAAAACATTAAAAATCTCTCACTAATGATGCTTATTGCAGTAAAACTAGAAGAGAACTGACAACGAGATGCTTTCAATTATTTATCTCTTTGTTGTCATTCTATTCTCTTGGCACTCTGCACGCTTCTATAACTACACCCCCGCTTGTGTTTTTCTTTCTTCCCTAGTGTTCTAGAGTCTTTTTTTCTCTTATAGATAATATTTTAAGGTGGATGCATATTTATAAAGAAAAGCGTTGATTCGTAGAGGAATTCGCTTTATATATTAGGATGTCTGCCATTTAAAATTTTAATTTTATCTTTAGAGAATGTTAGAATCCTGCCAAAAATTTATTAAAAGGAAAATATAACATTACCGAAGATTTCCAAAAACAATTTTTACTAAAGAACTTTCTTACAAACGGTTATGCAATATTCTTTAAATAGTTTTTATCTGCCATCATTAATTACGTTCATAACTCCGATAAAAATTCTTTTTTTGGTGATAAGAAATGTCACCTTTATCATAAAATGTTTTTATTTTTAGTAATGATTTAAAATTTACTGACGAATTCTTTCGTTTCTCCCGAGGCGTATCTTTATCCCATAGATAAGAGAGTCATCTAAACAGACGTCTTATGAATACAATTTTGCATCAAGCAGGATAATAATCTGTTATAAATAACATTTATAAACTAAAATAACGTTTTAAATGCTTGAATTCTGTTAAAAATCGCCTCTCTTTTAACGATTCTCTGCATAGCATCTGTGCTTTGCGGGAAAGATACATTTACAGGGAGCGGAAGAGAATCGATTGTAAAAAATGCAGGAAAAAAATATTAATTCGTTTGTGTCAAACAAATCTATTATTTTCTTCGTATTTTTAGCATATTTTTCAACGTTTTTCTTTTAAAATTAATTAAATATTTGTCGTGTTTTATTTACAAGAGAACAGAAACCACACGCTCCTAATGTCGTTTGCTCGTATCCTATCAAAAAATACGCCCGTTAATATGATTAATTTTTAATATTTAGCTTCAATTTTAGATCTTTTTACTAATTTAAAATCTAATATATAAGATTTTAAATAATTTTTATATATTTATAAACTTAAATTTCAGGTGGCGATTCGAGAAGATACTCATAGCACCAGACACGCTTTGAAAGCGGATAACGACCAGAAAAATACTTATAAAACGTTATTGCCTTGTAAGTATTATTTCTCAACAAAGAAAACTTATAAATTTAAATTTAGAATTCACAAAAAGTATTCTCTTTCCGCCATAAAATTAAATAAAATTCATTGGAACGTCACGTAACTCTGTCATTGTTTAGAGTAAGATTTATCATTTATTAATGTAATTTCTCCATTAACTAATAGAAAAAAACATAATAACTGAATTTATATCGATTCTTACATAAATTTATAATTAAATATAACAATTAAATTTAATTAGTGATAAATTTACATGTAGAAACAATTAAGGTTTCAAGCGTAAGAGCGTGATAAGTAACAAAAGGAGAATGAAGAGTAAACGGATGAGTGATGAATTGCATCATTGAAAATCCCATAAAAATCATTAGGATCCAGTAAATAAAATTCAAAATTGTATAAAATATCTATTTAAATTTCGTTTGACGTAACAAAAACATAAGATTTCGTGTTGTAAAAGTCAATTCTTTGATTTATCAAAGAGAAGATGCGGAGGAGTCACTTCCTCTTGATGCATCTAAGTAATAAAATACATTAATTCTCTCTATAAACCTATCGAATAACGTTAATTAACTGTTGAATATGTATTCTAGCTCAAGTTTCTAGCGTAATTTTAGTTATAATTTCATGCGTTTTAATGATATATACGCTTAAAAACTATCAGATGTATCTATCTAGAACGCATTAAATTAAGTAATTTGTGTAGAATTTAAAGGAACCGCGAATAGTATGACCCAGAAAAATGAAAAATTTACCAAAAAACCCGAAATCCCAGTTTTTTTTTTCAAGGCTTTAGAGCTTGTATTTAATATCTGTAGTGCTCGTACCACAGGTTGAGAGAGAGATATCATGGTTATATGTTGTAATAAACATAAAATATTCTTATATATTTATTTTATATTAGAAATTCGTATAGAAGGTTTAAAAATTCACTAATTTTGCTTACTAGAATGAGTTAAATTCTTATAATTGGAGAGAAAATTAACGTTGAATTATATATTTTTTTAAATTCACTTTTATTAGGAAGATAATCAACATTTCTAAGAGAAAACGTTGAAAATAGGGCATCTTAAGTAAAAAAAAATTACTTTAAATAAATAAAATTTAGGTCAAGAAATGTAAGACGTGAATAATGAGATGACGGTACGGTCACGTGACGCTAAACCACCCCCAAAAACACCCGCGAGAACTTCTCTCATCCCCCCCGCTTTCAATGAGAGCGTAAAGCCATTCTGAACACGTGACTTCTTAACCCACTCCATCACGTGGCCCTTACGTGCGATCCTTCATCTCACATCACTTAAACGTCATTAAATTACAATTAAATTTATTATTTGTCTCGAACAGATGATTATAATCGAGCCGTATTAGGGACGTTACCGGGGATAACCGATTCGGATTACATTAATGCCTCTTATGTTGATGTGAGTTTATAGATATGATTTATTACACTTAGAAACCGAATAATTATTTACTTTATTAAAATAACCCTTTTATTTATTTTTTATAGAGTATATTAAAGCCAAATGCCTACATCGCCGCTCAAGGTAAGAGCCAATCGTTAATAATAGAACCCCAGGTGTAAATCCTAGTTAAGGCACGTGTTAAATAAAGGAATTAGGCGTGGGTTCGGATCCGTTTACTATAGAAAATATATGGTTCTCCGGATAATGTGGATTTGTATCACTTCGGAGGATGCGGATTCGAATCTTTTAGCTGTAGAAGACGTGATTTCGGCTTCATTTCTGACAATACTGGAAGATGATGATGATACGTTCGTCCTCATCCTTCGTTATAAAGTAATTCGGACCTCTCCTGGAAGGAATTCGAGTCGAATGGAATACAACAACGGCTCTAGAAGACAAGATACGTGTTCGGAATCCCTAATTAATATGGGTTTCGACGATAAGGATCCATTTTATATACTAGGATTTACAATTTTAAGTGTTATTTAATAATAAACTTAATCACTCAATTATTAAATGTTCTTATAAACAATTGTAGGACCAAACGAAAATACCATCTCCGATTTTTGGCGAATGGTTTGGGAACAGAACTCGTACGTTATCGTTATGTTAACTAAAGTATTCGACTTCATAAGAGTGAGTAATACAATACCTTATACGAGTATCTTATACTGTTACGATCATTGATTGATCTATGTGTATTAATCACAGGTTATGTGCGTTCAATACTGGCCTACAGAGATCAATCAATCAGAATCTTACGGAGATTTGGAAACCATTTTAATTTCCGAAGAACTATTGTCTAATTTTTTCATCAGAACAATACGATTAAGGAAGGTAAGAGTAGATTTACAGTAAATTCCGATTCATTTGTGATAAAATATAAGAAAAATCTACCCTTCTCTTGCTAGGGAGACGAAGTTCGTGACATTACCCAACTACATTATAACAACTGGCCATCTCACACTTGCCCATTTTCCAGTTCTCTATTGGAGTTTAGAAGAAGAGTTAGGATTTACATGAGTTATCATCCAAATACAGGGCCGACTATAGTACATTGCAGGTAATACGGGAGCCGGGTAAAGTGTCTTTTATTTTAATTCTCGATTTAATTGTGATTATTGTTTAATAGCGATGGATGCGGTCGTACCGGGACTTATCTTTGTATAGATGCCAATTTGGAATTAGCAGAGGAAGATAATGTCTACGATGTTTTTGGATATACCAAGAGATTAAGACAGGCTAGAAAGGGGATGGTTGAAAATTTGGTGAGTATATTCTTTAAATATGTTTTATAAATATTCGTTAATTAAATGATTTATTTTAATTTTAATAATAGCATCATTATATGTTCATCCACGAAACTCTGGAAGAAGCTCATATATGCGGCAATACTTGGTTCCCGGTTACTCAAATTTCGCAACAACTTAAACATAAATCAATGAAAAATCCTATAACTAAACAAAACGAATATCAAAGAGAATATGAGGTAATTAAGCTTTTCTTTTAATTCTTTTCCCCTAGAAGAGAGACAGAGAATGTGGCCTTTCTGCAGTGCTTACAAGTACTGCAGAGAAGCATCTTAAGGAGTAATTAATCTCAACTTTAATCCCTTTCTAGCGCTAAAACAATACGTTTGAAGAGTCGTGTTTATAGGATATCTTCTTCGATTAAATTTTAATTGAAAAATCTTTATATTTTTTAGAAAATATGCAAATTAGCACCGAAATTATCGATTGGTGACTGTGCGGGAGGATATCGTCTCGAAAATAGAGAAAAAAATAGAGACATAACCATCGTACCTCGTAAGTACATTAGATAATTATAATAAATACAGTCGACCTCCTTGTAACACTGTTGATTTTTCCGTTTTATACGAATTCCATGTCATACGAGTCACTTAGATTTTACAAATACGTATGCCAAGCTGTGAACGGCTCACGTATTTGTAAAATCTAAGTGACTCGTACAACATGGAATTCATATAAAATCAACAGTGTTATAGGGGGGGTCGACTGTATTTATTATTTAATTAATGTATATTTGATTTTACATTAATATATCGTATATTAAATAATTCTAGCTGATAATTTCCGACCTTATTTGACTTCTTTCCAAAGCAACGACAACACCGATTATATTAATGCAGTGTTTGCAGACGTGAGTTTTATCCTATTTTAAATTAGTTTTATTTTTAAATACAAATGGAATATTTTTAATAATAATAAAAATTTATATTTTAATAGGGATATACAAGACCTAAAGAATATATCATTACAGAATGGCCACTACAAAGGACAATCGCAGATTTCTGGTCATTAGTATACGATCACGATTGCAATTCCGTTGTACTTCTATGCAATCCACCCCCTTGTAGCGTAAGTAAACCAATATATTTATTAGATATTTACGTAAAAATTCATAAAAAATTAAATTAATCTTTGAATTTTTCAGTCGTTTCCACAATTTTGGCCTACAGAAAGAGAAAAGAAAAGGAAATACGGTCCAGTATTTACGGTCGAATTAATATCTTATAATCACTATCCAAATATAAAAACTTGGTTGTTTAGGATATCAAAAAAGGTAAACAAAAAAAAAAATACAGTCGACCTCCCTATAACACTGTTGATTTTTCCGTTTTATATGAATTCCATGTTGTACGAGTCACTTAGATTTTACAAATACGTGAGCTGCTCACAGCCCGGCACGCGTATTTGTAAAGTCTAAGTGACTCGTACAACATGGAATTCATATAAAACGGAAAAATCAACCGTGTTATAGGGGGGGTAATCTAATTATTAATAGATTTGAAGGAGGAATTCATAAATGATTGCCATACTTACGAAGTATTATTTCTTCAGATTGTATCCCTTACAGAATTAATGTCGGGTGTTAAACCAGAATCAAAAACAACACAACTTTTCCAATTTACATGTTGGCCGGCGGGTCATAAAGTTCCTACGTCGACTAATGCTTTAGTCGAATTAATGAACATGGTAGATAGATGGAGGCAAAGAACCGAATACGGACCCGTTGTAGTTATGTCCGCGTAAGTATAATAAACTTTAGAAAGATATAAAATAAAGTAGAAAGATTATTTTAACATTTTCCTATATAATTTCTTCACACAGAAATGGAAAAAGTAGAGTTGGGGTGTATTGCGCCGCTAACGTAGCCACAGAACAAGTGGCACAACATGGCGAAGTGGACGTGTTTCAAGCTGCTAAAACTGTTCGAAGACACAGACCACAACTTTTAGAAAATATGGTTTATACCCTTTTTCTTAATTTAATTTAAAATAAAAAGTATGGATAAAAAAATAACTTATAAATAAATATATTTTTTACAGATGGAATACAAGTATTGTTACGACGTTGTCTTACATTACATTCTTCAATATCTTAAACAGATATAAATCATCCGACAAATAATTTAAGTTGAGGAAGAGAATTTTCTGAATATACACCACTTTTCTCTGTACTATTGTGTCATTTTTTAATAAGGATTTGATAACATAGGACATCCAAAAGTACGGTGACACTTTCTGTTAAATATAGTATCGTATTTTTGGATAATTCACGTGTTTTCAATGGTGCATTTATGGGAAGATACTTCATACTACGGATGTGAGAAGCGAGGAAGATGATGAAGAACAGCTTGTTAAGAAGTAACAAGTGATGTAACTGTCAAATGATAAGTTCTTTCTGTTACTATAAGAACAATAAGAAGATAAATCAAGCAACTTCCCGCTGTGCAACTATGGAAGAAGCAATAAAAGGACACATCTTGCATATGAAAACAATAAGAAATTTTTATAATATATGGTAAAATGGAAGAAATTACCACGTGAAACATCATTACAGCATGAAACTATTCCTGACAATGTTCTTTATAAGTCTATACAAAACAGTAGGGCTGTGTTTTAAGGAGTATTTTATAATCTGTGATTTTAAAAATTATATATAAAGTAAATATTACCAGAAAAGAAATCAACAGTATTATTAAAATGCTCAAGATTAGAATTTTTTTTTTCTTTCTTTTTTTATTACGAAGTAACGTGTATAATATTCAAAAGAGAATATTCGTCTATGCGTAGATTTTACAGAATATTTAATTATTATTATTGTGATTGAATTGAAAAACAAAATGTTCTTTTGTATTGTTTTTATATAAGTTATATTTTATTTATTATCATCAATTTTTTTGTAGGCAAACACTTTTGTACAACTGTTCAATAAAATTCGTAAGTGACTTTATATAATACAATTACATATGCTTATAGTTTTACCATTCTGTTTACTATTATTCCTTCCATAGAGATTTAATTCCAGAGACCAGAAGTCCCAGATTAACTGTATATTAATTTTCGGTTTGCTCCGGCACGCTACTACACACAGGCAATACCTGTTGCAGTAATGGCGTGTCTATAGGAAAACACTTATTTTATAATAATTGGAAGGTTAACCACTGACGCGTGATGATCCGAGTATCAACCACAGTGTTTATCTATAGAAATTCAATTGGATAAGTGGGAAAACTTATACGTGAATTATGGTTTATTTACTCTATGTCACTTGATTATGGCCGGTGTCTACGAAGACGAGTAAAAGGCTGGAAACAAACCAGTGGGATGATTCGTCAAAATACCACTCTTTACAAAAGACAGAGATGACGAAATTCACTACAAAATCCAAATTTTTAACATTAAATTAGCTACGCAACAATAAAATTTTCTCGTTGTTGAGAGAGAATCTATTGTGGACTCGTGCGATTATTTAAGTAATGTAAGTTTAAACTACGATCTTTCTGGATTTAAGTACAGTCGACCCCCCTATAACGCGGTAGATACGTTCCGCTTTATAAGAATTTCGCGTTGTAGGAATCTTTAAATACGTGAGCCAATGACAGCCCGTCACGTGTGCAGTTTACGGACTACGACTGTTTGAAAGGTTTTCTTCCATAAAATTAATCGATTCTAGACTAATTCCACTCAACATTTTCAAATTACATATAATTTTTTTGGGAATAATCCGTATAAACTATGCTATAAACGAAAAATTGTAGGATTACTTACCGAGTGTGCACCGTTCGACGACGCCATTATTTAAGCTTGTTTTCGTCGCGGTGCGGCGCACCAAACGGCGGGCGCGTTTTCTGACAAGTTATTTTTCTGCAAAAAATTCGTTGAACTTTGGAGACATCATTAATAGAAATAATTTTTATGGCCGTTGAATAAGAAATGTTTCTTTCACAAGAAATGTATAAAATTACAGTGCTGTATTAGACTTACGGTACCTAATTTACATACTGTACAGACGATAGTAAACTCAACTTACTCGTCTAAACTCTCCATAGCGTGGCGCTGGACGGCAGAAAGTAGTTCGGCTGCTTGTCAACGATGACGAGTTGGCGATGACGTTTTACCGCGTTTTACGCTTCCCTTTTAGCGTATATTCAATACATTCTTTCCTCACATATCCACATGAATACTTGGGAGAACCGAACACTGAAGCAAAATCTAGAATTTATTTTGTGATATATAATAAAAGGGTGAAATAGATACTGCAAGTTACGAATGTGATGAAAAGGTGTGAAATAGGTATTGACTAGTACCTGGTAAGATCGATGATACAATTGCTGAATGATTTGCTATATAAAAGACA